TTTGAAGAGATTTAATGAAAGAGCACAGATATAACTCTAACAAGCTCTGACTAAATTGTATTCCAAAAAAGGCGAAGTATGAACATCTCATTCCATAGCGAGAACTTTTAAGATAGAAGACTGTAACGTCTTCCAAAAAGGGGATATGAGAAAATACGGAAATAGAAATTATTCAAGAACGCTATTCATTACTGTTTGAGTACGTAGACTGTGAGTGCTGGCTCTTGCATTCATTGGTTATCAGTGGTTTCAAAACAACCTTTCCATACAGCTTTAACTACCGTTTGCACTGAATGATTATAACAAATTAAGCAATGCCTTGTAAAGTTAATACTAGTGTCATCTCTTTTCTTACCTATTTTGCTATACAAATAATCGCTCCAAACCATAAAGGTATCATGACTGAGATAAAATTGACAACAATTTCAAGAACATTACTTGAAGAATGGCATTCAAATCTCTTGACAAAGAGTGTGGGTTTCCGTAGGATGTGTTATAAGTAACTGATATGAGAACGACAACTCACTGGGCGATAACAGCAAAATCGTCCATTAGTTCGTCATCGAACGGGTTCATAACAAAGTTAGCCTAAGAATATGCAGTACTGATAATGGAGAAGGAAATAAAATGAGCGGGAACTTACACCATGCGAGCGATCCGAGTTGGTCGACTCGATCTCCTCGGACAACAGCTCCACCATTTGAACGAGATGTGATCTTGGCGATGACTGTATTGCTATTCGCACAAAATTGTGAAGGGAGATTACGAAAATTTCCCTCCACTCATGACTGTAGTACTTCCGATAGGCCTGACAAGATTCCGGCTTAGGATGATATGGAAACGCTAAAAATTGCTGAATAGTTTTAGCCGAATATGCGAAAGTTCACAGAAAGGCAATACTCCCTACAATTTCACTAGAATTATTGAGCGCTTATCAACGAAGTGAAATGTTCCAACCATGAGGATAATGAGCTCAAAAAAACAGCCAGATTCCACAAACAAAAGATCTTGACGCAAAGAAATTCGAACAGACAGAAAGGATAAAGCAAGATCAGCAATGCAGAATGCAATAGTTATTATTCTTACTGGGAGTAGACCATGCGTCAATCCTGTAGCCTAATTCCCAAAACAGAAATAATGCAGGACAAAGTTAAGGATCCTCACACGGTTACGGACAAGGGATTTTGGGATAGCAGATTCAGAACGCTTACTTCGATAACATTTCAACAACCTCCACAATTGCAAAATCTTGCCGAACTTTTACCCGAAGTATTTCAAGCTAGACAAGAGAGTAACCTGTGAATACTAAAGTTTTCTGTAAGTAACATACCAAACCATTCAGCCCATAAGGGATTGTTCTGAGTAAGAGCGGCACATTTGAGGAAAAACTGGTTACATTTATCCATACGTTTGTTTTCCATACATTTGACTAGATATAACCGATAGATATCAGTTTCGTACACAACAGTTAATCGAGCATTTTCCTGAAAGTTTAATTACATTTAACAATGAAATTTGGCACTGGAATAAAAGATAAGAAGGCATTGTGAAAAACGCTATAAACCCAACAAACA